TCTTTACCATGATCATAGCAAGTTACGAAATTCATGGAGAATGCAGAGGCACGTTTAAATTTCACTCTAGTACAATTGCTCAAAATGTTTTCGGTGACTTTTATCAGTGACAAGTTACCAATTAGTATGCATTTCGAGAAACCAGTGTGTGTGCATGCGCAGTTTGAAATTGAGCAGTTTTGAACGCAATAAAATCACGCGTAGAACTCGGGCTCCAGCAAGAAATTGTGACGTCAAACTGGTTGTCGGTTGAATTGTTTTGCAATAGACAATAATTTTGGAGCCTGTAGTTGTCTATGAAATGTTTCTAAGTTTTGTTGAGGATTATTCTGTAAAGAAATTGCTGAAATTATTTCATCTTTCGTAAACGGGACGTTGTTGCTTTGACGATGGGCTACGGACGACTGACGTCGAAACGTTCCATTCAGATCGGATGGCGCCCTCTCGTGCCAATCCCCCTGACTCGTCCTCGCTCATTTACAATGCCACAACTACCACCGTGACCGATATTTGAATGTTACTTTATGCATTGATATGTAACGGCGAACTCATTTGCATATTTGAATGTGTTCGAAATTCAAGACCCTGACTGTTAACAAAGTTATGCGGAAGTCCCTTGGATGTTTTAATAAGGCGTTTCACGTCCCGACTCAGAATAAAATATTCAGTTAGATTAAAATGTACATGATTTGCGTTAGAAAAATGTAGTCCTTTCTTAGATGCCAAAGCATTAGATTGTACAATGAATGACTAACTAACTTCATAAAATTACTAGAACATGTGTGTTCGATGGCCGTTAGACGCGCAAAATCGAACCCGTTCAAGCCAGAAATAGTATTGAAATATTCACCAGAATACAAGATGAAAGGAAATGTTAGGAAACCTTTCAGTGAAATTAGTGTTTGTTTCTTTCGAAACTATATGCCTTAATAAGGTAGAAGCCTAGTCATATTTTTTGACAAAAATTGTCATAAATCGCATGTTCATTAGTTTATTATTTACAATCATGAAGCCAATGTCCCATGGTACAATGAAATAGCATTATTTTGTGTGTTACAGTTAAGCTTTTTGAGAAACGTGTCCTAATTATTTTTTGAAAATTCCTATTTTTAGAACAATTCCATCCAGCACAATGTTAAAGAAAAATTGCATTTTTTGACACTTTTTTTAAGACCCAGATTTTTTAAATAATTCAGAACACAAAAAGTACTCCATCATTAACAATATATGATTTTTTCAGCCTATGTCACCAGGCTAGATTTTGAGATATTGCATAATATCTCTGCCATAGGAACCTATGGTAAAAGCATTATGAAAGTGCCAAAATGGCGACTTTCCACTAAAATAAAACCATCAATATCTCGAAAATAAGGCTGGTGACCCCCAACTTTTTTTAGGTCAATATCCTTATATTGCCTTGCAGTACAGTTTGTTGCAAAATGAATAAATTCTGTTTTTTTTTAATTTATGAGTAGGCTTCTCCCTGAACAGAACGTTTTTGCTCCCGGTTTTAGTGTATCACGTGCGCCATTTCACTACTATAACATTACCTTCCAAAACTTAGTCCGCGATAAAATGGTTCGTATTTACGTCTTTACTCAAGTCTGACATTAATAAATAGTTCGGATGTCACACAAGTTTTTTCCCACTTTTTGTAATGCGTTTTTAGATGTAACAACTGCAGGAAAATGGCCGTGCGTAGTGAGGTGATTGCCCATAAAATTGAAGGCTGCCTGTGGCAGAGGTACTATTGCGTAAAGCGCAAAGACATATGGGAAGGAGATTGATGTAACGCGTATCGAACTGATCGAATTAGCACGAGAGGGCGCCATCCGATCTGAACGTTTCGAAGTTAGTCGTACGTAGCCCATCGTCAACGCAACAATCTCCCTTTTATGAACATATTAAATAATTTCAGCGATTTCTTTACAGAATAATCCTCAATAAAACTTGAAAAATGCAGGCTCTAAAATTATGTCTATTGCTATATTCAATTCAATTGCAATTCAACCAACAGCCAGATTGACGCAACGAGAGTTCTACGCGTGATTTTATTGCGTTCAAACTTGTTCCATTTCAAACTGTGCATGCACACACACTGTGGTTTCTCGATATATTTTATCGACTCGTAACGATAGAATCAGTCAATTTAGAACTATCAAGTATGCTATCGGAAAGCATTTTGGCACAATTTTACTGAAAAGACGAGTTTTTTCATTGCTCATGAAAATTAATTTATGCAAATAAGGTGATTATTTCGACCAATCGTGTCATGCAACTCCCCCCCCTAATGGGCGAGCTGGGTAGACACCAAATACATACAGTTATTAACACTGAAATAATTCGTTTTTGGTTGAAATGTATAAAAGTAGACTAATACTAGTATACTCGGGCATACCCAATTGCTTTAAATTGAGTTAGCTTTCCGGGCACTGCATGTCAAAAACTTGTTAAGGTAGAAGCCTACTCATAAATTAAAATACCCAGAATTTTTTCATTTTGCAATAACCTGTACCCCAAGGCAATATAGGGATTTTGACCGAAAAAAGTTGGGGGTCACCACAACTTGATAGTTGTATTTTAGTGGAAAGTCGCTATTTTGACACGATTATAACACTTTTACCACAGGTTCCTATGGCAGAGATATTGTGCATTATCTCAAAATCTAGCCTGGTAATAGAGGTTGAAAACAACATACAATGTTAATAATGGAGTACTTTTTGCATTTTTTCTTTAACAATGTATTCTATTGAAATGTTCTAAAAATAGCAATTTTCGAGAAATATTAGGACACGTTTCTCAAAAAGGTTAACTGTAACACACCAAATAAATCTATTTCATTGTACCATGTCATGCGATTTATGACTAACTTTGTCAATAATTATGACTAGGCTTAAATAAATATGATTTTGGCGAAGAATGGCTAAAACAACAGGTGGCTAACTACGACCTCTTTCAATATGAATTTAAACAGCGAAGTTTTGATATTTATGTGCAAGAATGGTTTACTGGGGTTGCAGGATATCCCAAAATGCGTACATACTGTAAATTTAAATGTAATATGACTTGTAAAAAGTATATAGAATGTATTTCAAATGTTACTTATAGAAGGAAACTGTCTTGTTTTAGCATTTCTACACATGACCTAAATATTGAGACTGGGAGAGCGATGGGGGTTTTACTTAAACTGAGGTTTTGTCAATTTTGTTGTAATCAAATTAAAGATGAATATCACATGCTTCTAATTTGCGCACAATATGCCAATCTTAGGCTAAAATTTATTCTACACATTTATTGTTCTCCAGCAACAGAATGGAAATTTATTTCGTTAATTATTTTAAGTAATTCAAATACATTAGTACATCTAGACAAGTTTATTTTCGTTTCATTACAGAAACGCCGAAAACTTATGGAATGACTTGGGTAGGGTTTATTTATTTTCAAGAATATTTAATATTGTACATGTAAGGCCTAACGTACTGAATAACGATATATATATTACCCCCTCCCCCTGGTGACAACTATGGAGGACGCGTCAGAACAAATCATTCTTGGTAATTTGGCGTCAAGTGGAAGACTTTACGAACTCGTTTTAAAGAAGATATCATAAAAAAAAAAAAAAAAACAATACACTGCCACGACTGGGCCAGCCTGTATACCTTCGTCCCTTCAGATCACGCGACAATTCTTAAATGACTAAATATGCCTGGTCCAGTAAATCTTGAGCAATAGTAAGCAAATGTACCTCAGCCGGGTTATGAACTGTATGTCACGTGGAGTCGAAGCGACTTTTATCGCCCGATGACAGTATCAGGTTTATAATAAAAAAGCGTATTTTCTCATTGTAAGAAACTGTCCCGCACGATCCTGCTGGTCGTTTATTTTTTGGATGTGCACACCTATCCAATAACATAAGCCGATATCCTCTCCATATACAATATACGAAGGAGTATGCGGGTTCACTTTTCTTGTATAAAATTAGGGGCACAAAGATGTCAATGTAGTACGGCATCATTTTCTTAATAGACCCACTAACATAAAGAAGAAATTACTAGAATGCATGTGCGCATATTTTATAGCGTTTAAAGCAGTAACGATATTCCGTGTGAAGAACTGCTTATCCTTGCTATAGGAAATAATAACAATGATAATCACACATTCACGTAACATGCGGATAACACCCACGAAATGTGGGGAGGGGGTATGCTATTTTCCTCGTTACGGTGGCCACTCAATGCGTGTTCACTTTTCCTACGAGTGACTCCCTCTAGTGACGAAACAGAAATATTGCGAGGGGCGACGTTCAAAGCTGGGCCATAAGACGTCGTTATTGTTTTTAGGTTTTCCGACAATAACAAAAATGTTTTTTTTTTGTTTTGTTTTTTCAAAACAGTATCAAAGTTGGTCTCACTGACTGTTAGGTGGTTAGAGTTGGGAACTGATTCAAAAGTATGTGAACGACAATCTCTGATGCTGGTTAGTGCAGGCTAACCATGACGTCACACATTAAGATGCAGAAATGCAAAACAATACACTTACCATTGTATAATACTTTTATTACAATTATTTCGCTTTACCCCCGACAAATAAGAAAATGGAAACAAAATTCATCTGATGAACGTCAGAGAAAATGATGTATAAAATCGAGAAACTGACATTTTTCCCAATGCTAAATACCATATGTAGTATATATGATACATCTCAATATCTAGAAAATTCAAAAGGCCTTCGACCTAATGAATATACAGAAAACAACTCGGTAACTAGGGTACATCCAGTCTCAAACTAATCTTAATTAAAAAATGCTTCACATCGAATATAGTTTTGTAATCTAATAGTCAATCTACAATCATCAAACAATAAATCACGCGTACGTTAAGGTGGCTTGATGACACCCTAAGATGCTGAAAACTAGCAATCGAATCTGCTCACGAAACTGCTCGGTGATGTTCGTCTAAACTTCAGATGAGGGCATCGTAGTCGTTGCGGTATGGGACTCTCAATTCGTGTGTTGTTTTGTACAAATTATCAATGTTTGACCTGAAAATGTGATTAGTCAGGCCAAACAAACACGTGACGTGTTATAGAAACATTGCAAAATGTGCCACACCAGTCAAATTGAGCCAAAGCATAGAAATAAGGCAGAATTTGTTTTGTTAAAAACAAAAACTACCAACAAATAAGCTGATCTCTGATTAGTCCAACTGTTAGGTGTTGGGTTTGGTTAGCCAATCAGGCACAGTCTTTTAAGTAGCATCGCATTGACTCCAGTCGTCTGCAAGCACAGGTTCAAATTGCGCTTGTCGCATTCTTTCAATATGGGACTCGTATGACGCAGTGTGACGTCAGTGATGACATCTGATGGCATAATAAACATAACTATTAATAAGCCATAAGATGTACAGGGAAGCGTTAAACAATCAAGATTTGGGTTACTCTCTTATAACAACAATGAAAACGTTATTTCTTGAGGTCTGTGTTATAGTTGAAACAATCTGTGTAAACGAGAAACTCTCCATCCACTTTCTTAGTCAGGAAGACTCCTTTGCCTGGGTACAATGGTTCGCCATCGGCGTTGTAACACGTGATTCCAGCGGAAAAGTAGTACATTTCATTCTCGATGATGGTTCCAACCCGATCAGGTTCGTGTGGATGATACGAAGCAACAAATTTACGCATGCGCACGAGTCCTTCCATAATCTCTGAAAAAAAAGTATCTTGTTAATGAGTTCAGAAAGACGATGCATTTCTCGTAGTCTGATTGACTAATCTGTTCAATTAGTGATGGTTACAGAAAATGTAATTAGCAAAATATTAATTTATACCAGTTTCGGTAATTTCATTTGAACTGGTTCATGTATTTAGTCAGCGTTACCACTATTTTTAGTCAGTCTGTTCTATATTTTTCTTAAAGTACGACCAATATTGATACAAAACTACATACATTATAGGTAACGGCAATATTCACGATGCAGCTTACCTTCCCTTCCATATCTAGTTACATCACCGGGTGCCATTAGTTTTGCATCTGGTGCATAGAAGTCAACTAGCAGTCTTAAGTTACCAACATTATACATGGATGTCCATTTACGCATTATACCTACTGCTATAGCCTTGATTTCCTCGTCAGTAACGTGTTTGGGGTTATCCGCCATGTTTCCAGGTAGACCGACGTTGATGCCTATAAAATTGAAATCAAACTGACACCGTACTCTGGTATTTCAAGTGTAACTACCAGAAGAATGGCGATGGAATAAAACATATCTATTTTACAACAATTCACTCAGTGTGACAACATCAGTAAACCACCATACAGATGCATTAAGGCAAACACAGACAATGTCCCAAATATCGACGTCATTAAAGATGTAATCAATGATGCGAGACTGGTGTGTTGCAATTAAGGTATATATTGTGATTTTAAACCAGTATTTTTACACACCTATAACCACAATTAGTATGCAACAGCCCCATTTAAATGATTAAAATGACGATACTCAATATATATAATGGTAAAGATATATTAGTACTAATGTACTGTATGGCGTGTTTTATATACATCGCTGACCACTACGCATTAGTCGATATGATCACTATAACATCTTCGTGCGTACTTTGTATTGCAGCTATTCTCTTATGAAAGTTCAGTGTAGCTAAACAGTGGTAGTATGTAACCAAAGGTCTAGGGTAACAAGTAATCTAGTGAGATGTTGTGAAATGTGTGTTTCTTGTTTTCTAAAATCGTCACGCGTGGGCAGCTTTTCAAACGTGCATGTATACTCTCAAAATTCTATTTACGTATTACATTTGAACAGCTCGGGCAAATATTTCTTATGTTGCTTCGCAACAGTTTTGAACTGAATGAATCCAATACCTGAATTATGGTTGCACGAAGCTTGACAATGTTGCGTTGAGCTTGACTGGTATAACCAAGTATGCGATGTATTTGAACTGCATTCAATTAAACAAGATGGCAACCAGTCAGCAATCGTAATTTTAATAGTAAAAAAATGAGGTGCGTTGTATGTATGAAGCTGGAAATTGACAAATCAGGCATGTTAGAGATATAGATCCGGAACTGCATTCTTTAAAAAAATATGGCCGCCACAGGCGTGGTTTTCATGCATTTTTGGCCTTAAAATAGCTACCATTCAGCCATCTTTAATCGGATCATAAAATAAATGCAAGTGTAATAAAAGTGCAATATCGGTGATCGGTGCAAGTTCATGTGAGAAGCGGATATGGATACATGAATAGACGAACCCAAACACGGAGACTTCGTCCGAACGGAGACTACAAATCTATGAAGCACCTGTTCTTAACAGACACGCATGATGGCCAGAAACATGAATATTTTTCCAGGGCCTTTGTAAATAAATTTAGACAATGAAATAAGTGATTAACAGGTCTAAATTTTACTATAAGTAAAACTGACATGCACGGTGCCTATGAGTGTGACATGGTTCTTTGTTATACACATGTCTAAACGCTTTTTATGCATGCACCATTACATACCCATGGAAAAACAACAAACCACGAATTGTACTGGCAAGTCCCATGCTGCCAAAGAGTTCAACTGGTATGGTCCCCAACTATAGGGTTATCCATTGGGGTGTTGATTTCCGAAAAGGAAATGTATTGGGAGAGCAGGAACAATGCACTGGCAGGTGAGCTGAATATATGAAATAATATTGTCAACTGGACAACCCTTAATAACTCTCCGGGGGGGGCATGCAGGGCGGCATTACATAAGCGTAACATTCGTAGATTTGTCAGACTCTCGAGCATAGGCGACGTCTACGCTGCACCAGCGCAGTGCATTCTCGTTGACTGCCCGCTCAAGTCAATGTCCTAAAGAAGCGGCTTGAATTACATTTTGGTTTGGACTTTCCAACTTCCTGCAAAGATACCACCAATATTTCTACCGAGTAAATACATCAGGAACTAGACAAACATACAAACAACTCACCGATAACTCGTGGATTAGATTAACTTGAGTGTAGTATAAGCTATTCGTCTAAAACGTACCTTGAAAGTGAGAAGCCTTGTTTACTGTCTGTGTTCCAACTACTTGTGTCAAAGGTCAATAAATCATCCAGGGGTCAGCGCGCAGCTGTACTAAAGTACGGTTGTTGTTTTCTTTTAGTGACCGTGTCGAAAGTAATGTAACCCAGATTAACAATAACTACGTATACGGTACCCATTTGTTCATAATTACTAAAGACTGAATCGTAGTTTAAGTTGGGAGTTTGATTTGCATAGGAAGCCCGGGATAGGAAGTTTCAGCTCGGGTGACACGTCAATGTCACAGCGTCCTCTAGTGACATTGTAATTTTCATTTTCTCAATTGTTTTTAAAATCGAATGAATGTCACTTCTGGATTATTATTCAAAAAATAGCGACATATCTATTATTGATGATGAGACATTCGCATACTTTTATCGTTTTTATTATTATTCTAATAATGTCACTGATTTACCCGAGGGAAATCATTTCAATTCGATATGTACGGGGAAAAACAAACTTTTACACAACTTTTTAATACTTTAACTCTGAACTCGTTTTTGGCGTACTTCACCCAATTTAGTCACTGTTTATTGTGTTCCGATAGCTTCTAAAACAGCACCGATTGTAATTGACCGTCCAATCGCAACACTCTACGCATGGATACCAATGAAATATTAGCAAAGCAATCACTAAATCTATGCCAGTCGAATCTTTGCTTAGGACACAGTCCATCAACAACCGACGGAAAATACCTGTTTCGCTTCCGTCAAATTGCTCATTCGTTATTTATTTGTGAATCCGATGTCCGGACCATGTGAGCATACGCTTACTTTCCTATTCAAATTGTTTGACCGAGACTGTGCTTGGGAATAGTCAAGGCCAATTGCTTGGGTGTTTGTCCCCCAGTGTAAATTATACTGATTCATCCATATTTCATTGGTTCCTTTGACCTGACAATGACGAACTGAACGAATATAATCAGTCAGGCTCATGCAGAGGGTCGTTATTATTTGCCTCTATGCAACGAAAATCAAATTTCTTTAGCTTTTCGTCCATGTTCAGTTAATATGTAAACACGTATATTTCCTTTTTCGGTAACCGTCAACAAAAGCACTGTAAAACAGTATTAGCTTACTAGTACGCCATTAGAGGGCGCTACCGAAGAATTAAAAAAATTATGTTGTGTATAATCATAGATCCTACAATAAATATTGTAGCGTTCAAGGTAAACATTATAATTGAAGCGTGTTATGTTACTTGTGGTTCGAAATAAACATGAACAAAATATTCTCGGGGGAAACCACCGCCTGGAAACCACCGTGAAAACAAAGACCGAAAACTATCAGAAAATGGTACTTTACCCCTGCATGTGTAACTTATATAAATTTGGTTGTTCAGGGTTACTTAAAAGTTGAGTTCCTGTTGTTTTTTTCGAATTTAGCTGTTTTCACCGGCTCCTCGACCGGCGTTCAACAGCAGCTTTCGCAGAGCCCATAGAAATGCATGATACATTGGTGCGCGTCCTAGCAACGCGGAACGTTTTGTGACGTAGCTCCGTCCCCAAGGGTATTCTAGTTACATGTACCCATACAATATCATCTAACTAATTTTGTTCATGGCAAAATTAGCTATGACAGTTTGAAATATCAATAAACATTGTATTTTTTCACTTGCAAATAGGTGTCCGTCACGGCATAGACCCTCCTGTACTGTAAGGTCTATGGTCACGGTAGTAAAACTATTTACGTTGTCATAGAGGAGTTGAACGTTGAGGGCGTCAATCAAAGGCAGTTACATTTGTAAAGTGCATTCAATTTATTCAAACAAATCAATCAACCAATCATAATAGTCATATATAAGATTAAAATAAGTTTAAATTAATTATAATAGTCTATCGCCCCCGTGTACACTAGTATAGAAAAATAAGCTCGTTGTCGCCGCTAGATGGCGCCAAATATGGAAAAGAAGTACACGTACAACCTTCTACCATGCTGATTTCAAATTTAAGGTTTTTGCTTCTAATCTGACCCTGGAGAGAACATAGTTGAACTCTGGTGACCTTGCCCTTTGTTATATACATGTAATATAATTCCCTTTATCATAGTTTGTTTCAATATAAACATGCATTTTCATAATTAATTTTGAATACAAACAAGTTTTGGGGTTGACCCAACAGAGGGAAATCAGTCTACCGAATGTCCTTTAAAGATGTAAATATCTTACAAAAACATTGGTGCCTTATTTGTTTAATTATTTTAAAGGACATAATTTCCAGCTTTATTCAAAGTAATTCAGATATTTTAGTATATGATGAAC